AGGTAGATATGTCTTTTTCAAGAATTGGGACTCGATTAGTATTGCTCTCTCTCTCTCTCTCTCTCTCTCTCTCTCTCTTTCCTGGGTAGTTTTTCAATAATTCGAACATTGACAGTAATTCTGACCACTAGACAGAACCACAAACCTGTCCTCCAATTTAATTTCCCAGTTCGTATACAACCACTCCTTGTTATTTGCGTTAGATTTTATCTGAAAACTTTTTGCTTATAACGTGTTTCTTTCAAATTTATACATCAAGTACAATTATTCGCAACTTTATTCATTCTACGAACGAGATGATCACTGTTCTTTTGATTCTACTTTGTTATATCAACAATCTCCACACAAAGCAAACCTCTCTATTAAGAAAGGTCAATATTGATTCTCTGGAATCGATGAAGCAATCAGAACAAAAATCGCAGGAGAATTAAGTGCTGAATATTTATTAAGCTAAACCTAGATAGGGCACAAGGAGAGGATTGTTGGAAGACTGTGCTGCGCCAATTGTCCGATCTTGGAAAGAAAGTTGGAAAGCAAGAATTTCAGAATCTATATCTATGTTTTCCATTAATATGAAATCTCTTTCGTTTGCACAATTCCGGTGGATCACCCTTCCGATCAAGTCAAGTCTACTTTTATATTCCGAGCTAATTTGCTGCACTCACCTATAATTGACGTATTGGCATCATTTAATATTCTAAATAATTAAATCATTATTATATACCTATTTTGGGATGCAATTAATAATGATCTCTAATGATCTTGTAAGAACCAATTTAGTTCCAAGAATGTAATTGTCTATCTGTATTGATCATAAATGTCACAAACTAATTCTACATCCATTATTTCCACTGACCTCGGAGGTCGAATAGGATCTTGCCTGCTGTATTATTGTGAAGCCAAAAATACTTCTGAATTTCATAGCAAACTCAGTAGCTGATGATCTCGAATATCTTCCGAAGTTACAATAACACCCGATTAAAGAAACGACGATTATGAAGACGATATCAAATTACGCAATCAAGGATCAATAAAAAGGGATTTAGTTTCGCCATGTGAACAAATCACTTAAATATTTAACCAAAGAAAGAAGATTCGTCAGTTTTGAGAGAATGTCCTCATATCTCAATATTTTCTCAAAAATCATCTCCCAAAAATAAAAATGTCATTTTTTTTACATATAACTTCTTTTTCTGAAGCTTAAAGCAGGTGATATCTGCAATATTTTACATTTTATTTGATTTAATTTTTAGAATTAGCAGTCAACAAGCGAAAATTAAGTTTCCCAGTATTCCAGGGGCTTTTGAGTCGTCAACCAACAAAGGTACTAATATTGATCTCATGGAATCGATTACCAGCTCTCACCTAGGCCAAGAAACATTGCCATTGAACCATTGAAGATTTCATTGAAGACTGATACTGTTTTACCTGGTCAGACGAGTCATGTATCATCCAAGTCTTTCAAATTCATGTGTGGAGGAGACGCATGTCATTAGGGTGTTGGGCAAGTCAGTGGGAGCTTTGTATTGGTGTAGGTCATAATTTGATGGATGCTATGCTAATCTGTTTTTGTCTTGACAGGTGTAATATAAACTAATCTTTTGACATAACAGTTTCCCGCTAGATTTCTCAGTGATGAAATTTTCTTACAATAAGCTCCCTTCGGGTGAGGCTAACACAAAACTGTTTCCAGGAATACCCAGTTGACGTCCATGGACTTCATTGGCAGCCGCGCGAGCCAGATTTAAAATCATTGAGCATGTATGGTGCATTTTGCAGACCTTACTAAATTCTCTGCAGCCATAGCCAACAAACACAACGTGTCTAATATATATATATACCCACGCAACGACTCTAGTATCATGTAGATTTTATACTACAACGCTTAGACGCCGTTATTCAAGTGAGAGTGGAGATTAGGTTGCTGTTTCTAATTTTCTGTGCTCCAGTACATACAAACGTGCGTGCGAGCGAGCGTGCACATACACACGCACATACACACACACACATATTCAACAGGTTTGATATAGTTAATCATATATTAACTTTAATCTAATTTGTAAGCGAACTACTGAAGTATTTTTTTAATTAAATGAAACTTAGCGAAATAACAATGTTTACATTTACATTCAAAGTGTTGTCACTTGACTAAAAAAGCTCACTCAGCGCTAAATCATAGAGAGACTCGGCATTTAGCCAATAACAACGAGCCATTTGCATCAGCTGACTTTAATATTCGACAACGTGGCTTTGCTGACTTGTCATAAAACGCGTTGGCAACTTAATCTTCGTAGAAGCGTCGAATTTTTCTTATCTTTTTTAAATCTTTTTTTCCAACTGGGGAATTAACGGAAAGAAAACTTTAAAATGGACGCCTTTAGTTACGTAGAAAATTGACGAGATTTTATTTTATTTTAATTCATTTATGTTTATCAACAATTCCTCTCTGCTATTAGACAACGTCTCGTCAGGTCAGAACCGAATAGGTTATAATTAAAGTATTCATCCTGTTCAAAATAAAACTAAATAAAACGGAAAATTGAATTTTAAACTTCCTCTGGATTGCCAAAATGAAGATGTGGGTGGCACGAGGTAATATTTGCAGAAGTTACTGAAGCAACAAATTTAAAATCAATGACATACATGACATAAATTTTAAGAATTGTGTCATTCTGGTAAAATAAACTTTGAAAATAAACTTTGAAATTCGAATCCTATGTCTACCCTATGTATTAACATAACTAACATTATGAAAATCGAGATATTGTATTTAGAGGCATGTCTGTTTCCTCAACTATAACTCAAAAATACTTTCATAGATCATATCGTTCATAATATGCAATTCATTTTCGGTTCGCTTGCTCATAGTTGTCAAAATTATTGTTTATGTAGATAAAATTCAAGATTTATGTACTGTAGCAGGATGAATTGCAACATTCAAATGTGGTGTTTTTATTTTCATTTTTAATTTCAAGATGTTGTTATATACAGCAACACACAGCAGCTGTCTTGTTTGTATTATGTGACATTGCGCTATATTGAGATTTGTCATATATGGCACAAAATTCATAGAGAACTTCGGAAGGAATGAACTCAATAAAAACGGTTTCTTAGTTTAGTGCAATATTATTATAGTTACTAGCATAGTACCCATAAAATTAACGACATCATTTACGCATGGCTCGGTGTCTGCCCGTGATTAATGTATCCTGTCCCGTTCTTGCCTACGTTCAAAGAGTTTACTATACTTTCTTTCCTCTGTCGTGTTCACATATGACGGTGCAAGATATCGAAGCTATATTTCTATTTCGGATAGTTTACGTCATGCGATGAGATAAATCTAGTCTCAACGATTTCAATTTTGTAGCAGCACCTCCCTCGTTGCATCAACGAATGAAGACCAAAGGATTCCGAAGCCAGCTTGACATTGATAATGGAGGCTAGTTAGTAAGAGAACCCCATGTGAAAGTAAACATGTGTCACATTCAACCCAGTGGTGGTGGGGAGGTAAATGCAATCTAGTGTAGTATCTGTGCTCTATGTGAAAAATGTTACACACACACAATATATATATATATATATATATATATATATATATATATATATATATATATATAGTATTTTATGCATATGGAGTTGTTCTTGTCATCATATAGCAGCATCAGTAGTTGCTGTAATGCGACTGTCTATTTTATTTTCCTGTCTTTGATTGGGGCGGCCATGTTCGTATCTTCTTTTAATTTGTTCTTTTCCATCATTTCTAAAACTTATTTACTGAATTGTCTTTTATCGCAAAAACAAATGACATTATTCACAGCTATTCCAAGGGCGTAGATTAACATTTTCCTAAATCATCTTCCTATATTTTTCTCGAAAAACAACTAAAATATTCCAAATAAAATTTAATAACGTTGCCCATTTTTGCAACATTAGAAAGTATATTTGCAACAATTCAGACAATATTAATCTGACCGAATTTTTTAGATGAATCATTGTCAATGTGACCCGTACGCGATTAGAACATACCCAAATTCAAGAAGGTCTTAAATTATTTTATTTTGGTTGCGTTTTATGACTGCCATAAACTCTAGAAATAAATTTTAAAAGCAGCCAGCCATTGACCGAAAGAAAATAATTAAATATGAAAACTTTCGGAGTTGTATCACTTGAAGTTATATTAACGGTTAGAATGGGTTAGGGTAATTTCGAAACATCCGTGAACGTGTTACGAGCCGCGTGGCGTGATGTCGAGATGAGCAGAGGCGGGTAGGAGAGAGTCGGACTCCTCGCGAGCTGAAAAGAAGTGCTAGTCTGTTAGTCTGTCGTGGCAGAAGTCGCAGAAGTTGTCCCATGTACCACCCAAGCAAATCCGTGAATGAATAACCAAATACACTGGAAACAGGGTTCACATTTTCATTTCTCACACTGGCGACATGTTCATCTTTCATTCTCTTCGGACCGGGCATTTCACTAGTTTTGTGCATACCAACGCCAATAAGAATCGAAACCTAATATGGGGTATTGTCCTGAGAGCGACCGGGATATGTTTAATAATTATTTTTTTTTTTTGCTACTGATTTCACCAATGGGATCAGCAGTCGGGGTTCAAGTCAAATTTCAGTGTTCAAGCTAATTCCGAATTCCAAGATTGATGGCAAACATACCGAGGTTGTTTTCCTTAAAATTTGTCATCATATAAAGGTCATGAAGGTGATGTTCGTTTCTTCGAAAATTATAATCATGTTAAAGTTAAATTCTGTCGCCAACAGGTTTTGTTCGAAGTAGAATTTATGCTTTTAATGTTAAATTTCATGACCGGCATACCTTCTATAAGCCCTAGGATTGATTTTTTTTTTTTTTAGCTTCACTTAGTTAAGGATAAGAATATTTTTATTGGATAAGATCTTAAGGGGGAAATATTGTTTGCGTATGGAACGTACTTAGAGGAATTGGCCATAAAACATTTTCATCTTTTTTGCATTTATTCTTATTCATTTCAGATTGTGGCGCCTTAAGAAAAGCCGGTTTTACCAAGAGTGGCGAGTATTTCATCCAACCTTCAGCACTTTCTTGTTCTGCAAAAGTTTGGTGCGATATGGAAACTGAGGGCGGTGGATGGATAACATTTCAGAGACGCATGGATGGCACGGAGAACTTCTTTCGTAACTGGACTGATTACCGAGACGGATTCGGAGTTATCTCCCGAGAATTTTGGTTGGGTAACAATAATCTTTTCTTGCTAACCAATCAGAAGCAGTATGAACTTCGCGTTGACCTGTGGGATTTCAATCACAGATACGCCTACGCCAAATATAGGCATTTCAAAGTGGACGGTGAGAGAGACCTTTTCCGGATCCACGTATCAACTTATTCGGGTACGGCGAGAAACGGACTTTATTTGCATAATTTTGCTTTATTTAGTACGATTGATCGTGATAATGACAAGCACACATATGTGAACTGTGCTGAGAAATGGGATGGGGGTTGGTGGTTCACCAGTTGTGGGTCAACGTATCTGAACGGACGATACCATCGTAAATCGAATGTGCGACAACGCGGCATCATGTGGAATAGCTGGAAATACGAACAGCTGAAGCACAGTGAAATGAAAATTCGCCCCGTTAGGTTTTAAACAGCAATAACAAATATAATGATAATAGTGACAAAAAAAAAAAGAAGACAAATAAGCCAACAAGACGGTGAAGAAAGACAACAACAACGATAAACAACAACGGCAACTACTAAATAGTGTATCAGTAGTATCTTCGTTTTTAGAAAGCTTATGTAACTGTAGACATCTGAAGGAAGACTATGACTGTACTATTGTAATAATATGAGACATATCATACTCCTTATCACTATTACTAAGCTGTACCTTTTGTTTCAGATGTTATAATGGTAGATATTGAAATTTTGAGATATTATTTTAAACTGGGCGTAAAACACCTGATGTTACTTGGAAAATTAGAGCGGTTGAGGAAAATATATCAGAGCGTATTATCCAAAGCATTTTAAGTAAAGCTCCAAAGTATCGATGATTATGATGCTTTAATTCGAGAACTCAACCAGCATCACCCGAAAACATTTAGAAGTGCTAGGATCATCGAAAGATTCTATAGAGAGAATATTACACAAACTTCGAAAACGTCCAGTAGCTCTCTAGTGGTTCACCTCAAGAAAAGGAATTTGATACATTTTGATAAAAAAAAATAGATGCACAAATTGTTTGAAGATCTAAATTACTTCCATACATTGTTTTCTTTGACTTCTATAGAATAAAGCAACAAATATTATGCAGAACGCAATCTTTTGAAACACCTTATCTTTTGTATTTTCTACAAAAGCTGATTTCGTTTGTGCGAATGAAGACCCCTAAAAATATAGAAAATTATACGATGAGGACTTGCCTTGTATTTTTAACGCAACACTTCATCAATGACCTCGGTTGTTTCTTATTTCTTGCAAACGAAAGAAAGGGAAGATTTTTTAGTCCGCAAACTATTGCAAACAGCTGAACATTAATGCTAAAACTCTCTGTTAATAAATCCGTGATGAATTTTCTTAGTTAAATTTATTTCAAATTTACTTGAGATGATTGTGTATCATTGAACATTTTTTGCTAAAATCATTTAGGATCTACTTCAAGAGATAGATTGAAGATTATTCCCCAAGATGTTTAGTCTTCCAGAACAAGGTTTAACAGAAGCCAAACCATTGCTAGCATTTACATACATTGCATGTGAGGTCACTGCACAAGTTTTCTTTATTGTCTGTATTGTCTTATTGGTATTATAAAATTCATACGGCATAGAATAATAAACATGACACTCATTAAAGTGTTTGTCTCGTGGTTATCCTAAACAGCACAGCTCCAGTGGGCAGACAAGCTAAATGTAGATATTCGATTTTGCAGTAATTATTTGTTTTCTATTTTGTAGATTATAATTGGTAAATTTCTAGATATTCTATTTAATTACTATTTAAAAGCTTTGTTTAAATAACGCGTTTATAAAATTATATAATGATGATTTTAGAAGCTTTGTTTATTGGTTATTTCTTAGAAAATTTATTTAATAAAATATTTCTAGAATCCGTATGCAATTGAAAATTTCAAAAACCTTTACGTAATTGATACTTACATTCCTTATCTAAATAATGATTTTCGAATTTAGAAGTATTATACAACTGAAGATTTTATTAGGTTTATTTTATTGAACACTTTTTGAAGTTCCATTTAACTGAAGATTTTAAGAAACTTGGTGTAAGTAAAGATTTCGTAGAAACTTTAATTGGCAATTTTTAAAAACTTTATTTAACTGAAAAGTATTTAATTTGGAATCTGTCTATATTTCTGAGATGAAGTATTATGTACATCATTTACATTATTCGGACTATTGTCCTCATCTTTGTCGCCATATTTATTACAACGTTTCGGCCGTTGTACGCTCCGGCCTTCTTCAGGTGGTTGGAATGTCGAACTGAACCTTTTATTTCGCTCACTGGGGTAGACTGTTCTAGTTTCACGTGCCATGTCTAATGGATTTCAATTATCAATTAATTCCCATCTCCAAGTTATCCACCGCCTTAACCAGGTATTGAACTCACTTATCCACTGTGCCATGTGTCCTCAAGGAGGACACATGGCACAGTGGATAAAGGTGTTAGTTACAATGACAGGGCCCAAAGAGTGTAAGTTTAATACCTGGTTAAGCCGGTGGAGAACTTGGAGATGGGAATTAACAGGAGATAACTGATAATTGAAATCCATTATACATGGCACGTGAAACTAGAACAGCCTACCCCAGTGAGCGAAATAAAAGGTTCAGTTCGACATTCCAACCACCTGAAGAAGGCCGGAGCGTACAACAGCCGAAACGTTGTAATAAATATGGCGACAAAGATGAGGACAATATTTCGAATAATGTAAATAGTGTATTTAATTTGGAATTTCTTAGAAATTTGGTTTCATTGAAGATTTTAGAAGTTTTATATAATTGTAAATATCTGAAGATTTCTTAACATTTATTTAAATGAAGATGCAATTGAATATTTTATTGGGCTTATTTAAAATGTTACTTAACTGGAGATCTCTTTGAAAATCTATTTAGCTGTAGACTTTTAAAAACCTTGTATAATTAAAGATTTTTTTTATTTCGCTGTAGAATTATTCGAAGCTATATTTAATTGATATTTAAAATGTTTAATTGAAGATTTCGTGACAGATTTGTTTAAGTGAAGATTTGTAGAAGCCTTATTTAATTAAAACTTTCTTAAAAAAATTATTTTTTGATTTTGAGAAGCATTATTTAACTGAAGTTTTTTAGAAACTTTATTTAAATGTCGATTTCTTAGAAGCTTTGTGTATTTGATATCTAAAATACTTTATTTAATCATTAGAATATTTTAAGTAGTCAAAATTGGTATTGGAAATCAATTCCGTGACAAACTATAAATAATGTCCCTGATGTTATTGTGAAATAATTAAATCTCCAAGTTTTTCGTTTTGATTTAAAATTAGGAAAATATTTTTCGCATACTGATGTTTTATTATTACAGTGTCTTCTTAACATTTGATCGAATCGTGATGTCTTTATAATACAATGTTCTGTTGTAACCGATATATTCGGCTGGAGCGAACTTGCTTTAAGGGAAATAAATCTAAATATGTTTGTGATTAGTTTGTTTACCTCCCTTGTTGCAATAGTTTTCCTTCCTTCATGTATTGTAAATTGTCTTTAAAAAATTATTTTCGTTAGTTTGGTGATAAAAAATATAAAATTAAAATAAAGTAATTAAATGTCAGATTATTACAAAATGAAATGTCGGAGATTTTCTGTTGAAGTCTTTTAAAACAAAATTCATTAAATAAACGACAATAGAGCAAAATCTTTAAAAGAAAAAAAATATTGGCATTTTGTTTTTCAAAGTATTTCTTTTCCGTTCAATGATATTTACACGAGGTTTTGTCAAAGGTTTTTAATATAAACATTTTCTATTATTGCTTTTATCTGAAAAATAATTTAAAACACTTAGTATTTTTAAAATTTTAATGATATTTCTAGAAAGTTTTAATTATATATAAAAAAAAATCTAAAACCAATCTTTTAAATTTCCAATAAATTTTCATTTATGGAAAAAAAAGCATTCCTTTAGCTCTTTCTGTCCATGAACTTTACTGAATTTGGAAAGGACGTCAAGTTTTCTTTGTTTTAAAATAATTTTCCCCCAAATATTATCAATATAATTTACAATAATAGGTGATATAAATCTAGGTTTTTAACATAATAATTGTAGGAGATGTGAAACGGCAACGCTAATGGTACTTGATTTTAAACAATGTTGATATAAAATATGTGAATATTTTCAATATAGTGTCATTTTCGTTTTCAATTTCTGATACATCTGTGAAAAAGCGTCGGCCTTGACCCACAAACAATGTATTTTGTTTGAATTTAGGAAAATTCGATAAGAGAAAATTCAGTAATTTTGACAAGGTAACTATGAAAATAAAAGTCGATTGAAAATTGAATTCAGGGCCATTCTGAAGTGGGGATTGGTGGGGGGGCTAATCCGGTATCCACTATATTTTTAAATAACTGAAAATCGTGGGGTCCAGGTATAACCCCACTACAATAATACCAGGCCGTACTTTCTAGAGAGGATACCCCCACCCCATACATTATTAACTAAAAAATCATTAATTCCGGTCCAGATAAAACCTCACTGCAACGATACCAGGGCCGTACTTTCTGGATGGGGGGTTTAGGGGGCTAAATCCCCCTCTTATGTTTTTAAATAAATGTTTTTTAAATAAATATTTATTTACTTACTATACTCTATTGTTTTCAAGCAAATAAAATCGATTTCTCTAAGTTAAAGTTATGTTCTTGTATCTTTTAAAATTATTATTTTAATAAAAATGTAGTAAATAAATTAAGTTTTTTTAGTTAGTTAGTAAAAACAAACAAACAAACTATATAGCCTCATTTCTATTTCAAAAAATATAGGGAGGGGGCTTAACCTTCCAAATCCCCACTCCAGAACGGCCCTAAAATCAATTCCCAATTGACTTTTATTTCATAGTTACCGAATTTTCCGGGCGCCATTTTGTTTAATAGAGAGTCTACTGTGAAAGGGTTTTCAGCATAATGTCATTGAAAGACAACATGAAAGACATGTTTTCCATAGGACTTGAAGTAAATCTATGTTCAAATCTAATAAACGAGAGCTTCCTAAACAAAATGGGGACGCGAAGCGAAATGCTGGGGCCGTGAAAATTAAATTAAAAACTTGAATTTCAGTTTATATGTTATTTCACATACGCACAATAAGGTGATGTACCACGCAATCGCCGTAGTAATAAAACGCGTGTGCAGCGCCGTTTGCGACAAGTGCAGTGACAACAGATGTATTTTCAGTGTAGCTGGTTAATACCTGGGATCGCAAAAAATCTCGCCATGAAAAATCTCGTCATGAATGAAAAAGTTTAGAAGCGTTGTAATAAAGAATTTTTTTAGAGCCACGGGAAAATATTATTCTAATTCGGATTTCAAATGATTCAGCGGACAACAGCTGGATAAGTTTACAATAGTTTGAGAAAAACACCTTTCATAGACTTAGCAACCAATCAGA